TCAGAGAGAGTGGAAGTGGGGGAGAGAGAGAGAGAGAGAAACATCTATGTGAGGGAGACACATGGGTCGGTTGCCTCCCGCACGCTGACGGGCTGGGAATCGGGCCTGCAACCGAGGTATGTGCCGTTGGCCAGAATCGAACCCGGGACCCTTCAGTCTGAGGGCTGACGCTCTAACCACTGGCCAGGGCCCTCCTCCCTCTTCTTTCCCAATTTTTTTCTGTGGGCTTAGCTTTTCGTTTGTTTAGAAATTTGTCCCAGTGCAGGTGATAGTGGTTAAAGCACCATTTGTGCTTGAACTGTGCACAACAAAAGACTACACAAGCTCCTGTCTAATGACATTAGTAGAACAGAGAACTATGTCAATAAACTTGAAACTAATTGTTGGCTGATCACGTATAACGTCTAGCTATCCATCTATCTCCTTTCTGCTTATCTATCATCTATCTTTGTATCTATGTGTGTGTACTACATGAATATATATGTGAATAAATATATATGAATTGCCCTGCTAGCATGGCCCAGAGGTTGAGCATCAACCTAGGATCCAGGAGATTGAGGTTGGATTCCCGGTCAGGGCACATGCCCGGGTTTCGGGCTCAATCCTCAGCAGGGGGCATAAAGGAGGCAGCCGATCAATGACTCTCTTATCATTGATGTTTCTATCTCCCTCTCCCTCTCCCTCCCTCTGACTCTGAAATCAATAAATATATATNAGTCAATGACTCTCTTATCATTGATGTTTCTATCTCCCTTTCCTTCTCCCTCCCTCTGACTCTGAAATCAATATATATATATATATACATACATATATATATATATATATATATATATANTCCCTCTGACTCTGAAATCAATAAATATATATATACATACATACATACATATATATATATGAATGAATAGATTTGTGAAAGATTCTAAACAGATGATGATCTTGTGTCTGTCAAGCTAGGCTAAGCTCTGGCACATCAAGAAACAAGCTCAAAATCTCAATGGGCTTCACACATAAAAGTTTATTTTTTGCTCATAAAAGCTACTTTGGGTTCATGGAGTCGGAGGTGGGCTGTGCTCCATGTAGTCATGCAGGAACCCAGGCTGATGAGTGGGACCCTGTCTGAAATGTCACTGGTTGCCTTGGCAGGGAAAAAAGAAGGCAAAGGGTTGTGTTTTGGCTCTTAAATGCTTTGGTTTGGAAGTGTCACAGTCACTTATGCTCACAGCCCATTGGCCTGAAATAGCCATATACCAATGCCTTACTGCAGGGTGGCTGCTTGTCTCCTCACAGTGACCTGGAGGGGACTCCAGAGCCTCCTCCCCACTCTACTCCTGCTGCTTGTCCTGAAATTGCTAGAGCTTCTGAGCTCTTTGCTGGCGACACTGAGCCCTGGCTTTGTTATGTGGTTACCTGATCCCTTTGGAAGGGTTCTTGTGATATATTCTTCTCAGAAATGTATCCTGGAAAGAGGTGTGGCCCTCTCGAAAAACTGGTATACTTCCTCTTTTACACAAGTAGTGAGTATTAGATAACCTGTCATGATTACTTTCAATTTGGGCTAATAAGCTCACAGCAAAATTTAGTTAGAACCCTCCATCAACCTAGGAATTTTGTAGAACTGCTTCTTCCTTTGCCTGATTTTAAAACATTTCCTATGGCTTTAATCATGACCTGGTTGAGTGCATGATTTCATTGTCTACCAACCCTCTATCTCTTTTGGAAGTTTCCAGATTTACATTACACATAAATTAAAATATTGGTAAAAAAAAATCTTCCATTCAGGGAATGCTTCCTTGGTGCCAGCTGCTTTATGTGCCTTTTCTCATTCATTCCTTACAACAACCCTCTGAGGTATAATTGTCAGCATTGGGTGAGTGAGGAAACAGACTCAGTGAGGCCAAGTGTCTCATCCAAGTCCATACAGCCAGCAGATGGAAATTAAACCCAGTTCTACCCAGTGCCGAGGGCTGGGTTCCTAACCGCTTTTATTTTATAGTATCACATAGACAGATGATTTAATTCAGGTGATGGGTCCTGTCCTCACCTAGCTTTTGTTTTTATTATTCAGATTTTCTGTGATATATATATATATATATATATATGAAAATTGGAAATGTTTGTGAGCCAAAAATCTTTCATTTTTTAAAACTGGTATAGTGGCCTCTTAGGGAAATAGAAGATTTTATATTATAGCTTTTGGTTTAGGTCTTTAAAAAAACTTTTTAAATTAAGAAGTAATATATTTACAGAGATATACACAACTCTTAAGTGTACTTGATGAGTTTACACACACACACACACACACACACACACACACATACCTCCAGGTAACAGCACCTAGATCAAAATATAGAACATTTCCAGCACCCTAGAGTTTTCCTCACATCATTTTCCATCTCCTCCCTTCCCCAAGCTAATTGCTATTCTGGCTTATATCACCATTTACTAGTTTGCCTGTTCTTGAACTTTGTGTAAACATTACACAATGTTTACTCTTTTGTGTCTGACTCTCACTTGTCATTACCTCTGTGAGATGCATCCACGTTGTTGCATGTAGCAGGAGTTCAGTCTTGGTTCCTGCTGTGTAGTATTTCGTTTTAGGATTAGCCACAATTTATTTACTAATTCTGCTGTTGAGTGACATTTGGGTTGTTTTCAATTTCTGGCACTTATGAAAAAAAGTTAACATTCTTGTTACCTTTTGGTGGACATATTAATTTCCTTTGGGCTGGTATTGTTCCACCTGTTTTTATTTTTTTTCATTTAGTAGGTATCATTTGGCTTGTTAGATTTACTAGCTCAGGGTTTTGTAGGCCGTGGAAGTACTAGACTATAAATATGTTAATATCTAGTCTTATAATAAGGAAATGAATGGGTTCAATTTCCATCTTATGAAAAATAATTAGCAACAAAGCATAGTATTTAATCTCCAGAGCACTCACAGTTTGTGTAGAAGTTTGTTTGCAAAACTTGGCATATTAGTCAGAATTCTCTTTCATTTGCAAATTACAGAAACCCAACTTAAAATAACTTAAGCCAAAAAGGGAATGTAATGAATCAAGTATTCAGTGGTCATCTGCTTTCAGGCATGGCTGGATTCAGGTGCTTAAATAATGTCATCAGCATTTGATTTCTATTTCTATATATCTCTTGGCTCTGCTCTCTTCTCTGTTGTCACCGGAGAGCTTCTCTCTTCCCAACGTGTCTGACCAAACTCCCAGAATTGAATCTTTTTGGTTATGACCCTGGCCCAGTCACTGTGGCCAGAAAGAAAATCATTCTGACTGGTTCATATGTCCACACCTGGACTGAGAGTAGGGATGTTACTCAAGGAAAAATGTTTCCATAAAAGAGAGAAATGGAAGCTGGGCAGAAACAAAATAAAGAAAAATGGACTTCCACTGTGCTGAGAAATAGGGAATTGGAAAATGAACATTCTAGGACTATAGGTGATGTCAGAAGGTTAATTGTTTTTAGCTCTGATTACTCAACAGAAAGTCTAATCATCTTCGTTTGCATAGAGATAAACTTGTAAACATCAGCTGAACTTTGAAAATGGTCTACTTCCATTTTTCAAAGGCATCACCATTCTAATGCTTGCTTGCCTGGAGATATTTTTGTCTTTTATTTTTCTTGCTTTTCACCGTTCCCATTTCGGTTCAGTCCACAGATCTTATTGATTCTTCCTTTAGATTTTCTCCCCTACTTTTTTTTTTTTTACTGTCCCTACTGACACCACATCAACAGTTCCAGGCTTACAATCTATCCCTGGAGCAACCCTAGTGACAAAAACACATCTTTCCCTGTTACTCTAGTCAAAGTCTTAGAAGACTGAATTGGGTTATGTGCCTATTCCTGAACACCATGGGGCCAAGGGCATGGGGGACACTGATGGGCCACACCTGGCTCATGTGACCATCCTGGGTATCAGGAATGCCATCAGCTCTTCCTGTATCACCTGGACCAAGAGTGGAGGAGGGGCATTTTCCCAGAAGAAAATAATGGCATTGGTGCCAAAAGCAGGGGAAATGGGTAATAGGCAAGTATTAGCAACAGATACCCAGCACACTTATAAATTAAAACTTCAACACTTCTGATTTCAAAGTATGCTGTGCCTATAGATTAGAGCTCATGGAACTCCTAAAATCATATTTTCAAACTGGAAGGGATGGTACCAATTGTCTCCTTACCCAAATCCTCTAGTTGCCATTAACCATTCTTCCTTTGGGCACTCATACTAATTTATGCTGTGTACCCTAGAACCGCTAGTGCAGTCAAAGTGCTCAAAAAGTCCCTGTTCCTTCCAATCTTTTGGTTCATTGCACCCCACCCTCCCAACCGAGAGATTACATTGGTCAAGATATAAGTTTGGCCACATGCATTGGAAACAAAAAAAACAGTGGCTTGTATAAGATAAACGTTTCTTTTTTCTTTACATAAAAGCCCAGCTGATATGTCAGCACTGATCTGTGACATCATCAATAACCCAGGCTTCTTCCTCTGTTGTGCTGCTGTCCCC